AATAACCAACACCGATGCTCTCCTGTCTGCATACAGCTCATCTATCCCTATCTGACGTACACCATTCCTGTTTGAGGCTGTGAAAGACCGAGAACACTGTTTTTGTTCAGACTCCAGAGGAAGGCAATCCGTATTGTGTTCTCCCTTCCAAAACGTCACTCCTGCAAAGAAATATTCAGATCATTCAGAATCCTTACCTTATCCATCCATACATCTTATCTTATCTCATCTTATCTTTTTTGTATCCATCCATCTATATTCTGGAAAAGTCATTCGCTAAGAAAAACATATCTTTCTTTCACCACTCCAGTCAACTACAGATATTCTTTCCGAAACACTTCAAACCTTGCCATTCCCCGTCATTCAACTGCATTTTCCAGAAACACTTTCACTACAATGATTTCATCATTTAGTTGTTTTTACTGTAAGATAAACAATATGTTTTATCAATTAAGTATTAATTTGACTTGGCTAATGCATGTATGTATATGTTGATCTGGCCTAATAAATGACTTATTGACTTATAACCACTATTCAACCTCGATTGACAAATCTATTAAATCAACCTAACCTTATAAACCAAACCTACTAACCCCATTGACTAAACATGTAGTAGGTAAAACTTAATTGTAATCAATCTGACCCAGTCTTACCATAGTATTGTGCTGTGTGGTTATTTTTAACCTAAAAGTTTATTTTTTACTAGTGTATTGTATTCGGATGAAGCATGTAAGGGATATCCATCCTTAAAAGTATTATTTTATTGTATGAATAAATGTACAAAGATACTGAAAGTATTGTTTATTAATGCTCAGCTGACTTGTGAAATGTATACAGTAAATAAATTCTACAATTTTTGTGTAAAATAGCGAGGTAGGGTTGCCTATTGCATTGCAAAAGCATGATTTTCGATTGGACAATCTTCGCAGACTCTTTCTGTGATCGCAATAATAAAGGCTTGGCTTGAAAATCAAACTCCCTAATGTATTATTGGTCAAATTAATTTTTCAAGAGAAAACAATTCTTTGAGGCCCTCCCAAGCCAAGGCCCCTAGCAACCACCGTGTTCATGTTAGAGATATAGGCTATAGCCCTGAATACGAGAAATTGTTTTTTAATTTAAATATAAAAACAAAATTCTAATTTTATCTGTACATATATTAATATATTTAAATCCACCATAGGCCTATTACTTTATAAACAAAACCATAGTTTTTCATTAAACCTGCGAATGATTTCGATTGAAAAGGGAGCTTGTTTAGAATAGAACTTCTAGAACATTTCTAAGAAACCTTTTTGTCTTTTAATCGATTCTGCATAATCTTCAGTTTTTAGACCCAATAGTTTTCTCTACGCCAAATATAATTTTAGTTGTACTTATGCTATCATCGAAGAAATGCTAAGTGATTGGAATGCAATGGGCTGATCGAATATTTTTTGTAAATTCTTAGACAAATGAGATTACCTATAAACAATTTTTATCTGAGCTCAAGTCTTAATTTTAACTGTTTCGAGTTGTTAAAAGATGTTATTGAAGAAAAGTATTTTTCAATTGCATTAAGTTGATATTTCAATTTGGGTTAATCTTGAATTTAATATCTCAAATTCCTTCTTGTGATTTAAAGGGGTGTAATCATAGACTGGCAAAATAATTGGCTATAATTAGAGGTTTTAAGGCATTGGTTTGCTAAAAGAATGAAGAGCATGGTATATGGAACCCATTCAAAAGTTTAATTTGCTGTTGGTCTCCACTTGTGTAGAAACAGACGATAACTTTAAACCGCGAATTGTATTGACATTTAATATTTTAGTGATCTAGGAAACTTTTTATCAGCAAGTCCTTCTACTTTATGTAATTTGAATGCTTTGTTTAGTAGTATTACTTTCTTTAACTCATTGATCTCTGTATGTTTTTGGAGAATGCATACAGGCTTTTAAATCTAAAATCTTTATTTATATGTCGCTTTTATGTGTTTACCAGGCATACAAGATGAGGTAACCTCTTAAAACAGTTCATAGAAGCAACCTGTAGGATACAGTAATATAAAACATGTATAGCCAGCCACCAAACAGAAAAAAAACACTTAAAGTTTGTAAATATTTAAGCCCAAATAATATTATATTCTTTTTACCCTCAGTTTAATAACTTAAAAATTTCAAACTTGTTCATACTCTTTAACTCAACATCTCCCTTTGAACAAACATCAATGACCAAAAATACTTATGATAAAAACAAGATAAAAACTTCAAATCATAATTATTATCAGTGATCACTAACATCCTATCATATCTGACTAAACTCATAAAAATTGAGTAAATAAATTAATGTGATTTAACACTGACAGCCAAAAAATAGACTAAGTTTAGTTTTGGATAAGCTAAATTTAAAGTTAAAATAATTGTAGTTCACAATTACACAATTAAAAATGCATGAAAAGTAATTGGGAATATAGTTTTTAAATGAACTTAGGTGTGGTGTAGCTTTTTGATATATTGAACAGCAATGTTTTAAGTTTTCTTTCGTTATTCACATTTTATAAAATTCTTTCATCCTATGTGGTCAAAAAAGTAGTTTACAACTTTGTACTTTATTATTTAATATTTCTGTGTATAAATCATTATTTATTTTAAACATTTCTAAAGTCTGAAAAGTAAAGATATAGGGGAGTCTGGAAATTTAAAGAAAATAGAAAATAATTTATAATTTTAGAGATTAGAATTCTATGTAATTTGAAAAAATAATGGATCTTAAGGCCTATTTGCTTGGAGCGATTGCAGCGATATTCGCGCAGCGATAATTGCTCCGTGATAGTAGCTGGGCACTGTTCTAACGGAGTTTGCGTTGTCCTGTTTTGCTTAGAGCGACTGTCGCAAGAGTCGTTAGCTACAGTCGCGGACCACTGCCCTGGGTACCAGTCTTGCGATAATCGTGCCTTGACTAATGCACAGCGACACATACGCAGAACCTCAAAACAGTGCAGTTCACTCAGTAGGCACATTAATAATAGGGGTTAAAATAACCATGATTACTTTTTCGTTCACATTAGTTTTTCTATTCATGTGCTGTTACGATTGTACTGTTTTGGTTATATTTCCTTACACATTCATTCTACATTGTAGAAGAAACAGGCAACTCTTTATTTAAAGCAAACTTTGCATTGTCATTGCTCAAATAGTTGTGTATAATTTTTTTAGGTTACCCTCGTCTATTCACATTTAAATATAAAATGCTTGACTGTTCCAAGTTTACAATGTGTTATTTAGGTAGTGTGGGTGTTAACACTGTATCAGTTTTTTTGTATGAATACATTTTTTTATTTAGACTCCAGGTTTTATTTTTTGACTTTCATGTACTCTTATTGATATCACTAATTTAATTTTTTTATTGATAAATTTTTTTTCGTTGATATCACTACAGTTTTCTATTTATCTCCCATCTAGTTGCGTCTAGTGATATGTATCCATCCAAAATCTTACATATCACTTTTACATATATTTGTTTATCGATCGTCTATTGATACTTCCACTAGGGTCAAGTAGAGCCTCGTCTTCTAACTCCTCACTGAGGAGATACTTTAAAAAGTTGCATCACACACTCATGACTTCACCATTGTGAGTGCTGGTATTCAACTAACTATGAAAATGTTGTTCAAAGGTTTATTGCGGACATTTTCCATCACGATGGTAAAAAACGAATACCTAATCAAATCAATAGATACAAATCAATACCATACAAATCAATGATTATAGATTATAGTGTTTTGTGATTGGTTATTATTTGCATGTTGTATCATTATTTGACTGCTAATACAGTGCATAGTTTTTTACTGCTACCCTCTGTAGTGTATTCCAACTTAGGTTGGGCATTAGTGTATTGTTAGTTGTAATGTGTCAGTTAAGTTTTTTCACCTGAGGACGGGATCAGATTCCAGATCTCAATCGTTGTGTTTTGTTTTTTCCCATCGTGATGGAAAATGTCCGCAATAAACCTTTGAACAACATTAACTCACCATCACCAACAATGAACTTCAAACAAAAAACTATGAAAAATCGCGCGGTGACCGAAAACCAATCGCTCTAAGCAAAACGGCCGCCGCAACAGCGATAGTAGCTGAGTGATAATCGCTATGCGACTCACTACAGTCGCTCCAAGCAAAATGGGCCTTTGGACAACCTAATTACCGTAGGACTAATTTCTATCGCACATCACTGCGATTGCCTATGGTTACTGCTCCATTTATTCCTTTAGTACCTGTAGTGTTTTTAGTGCTGAGCTTAAACACACTGTGATTGTGCCTGCACCTGTCTTAAGCCCCTATCCCTTAGATCAACGTCCCCAAAACTATGTAAATATGACCGTGCATAAAGCATGAATTTAATTTTAAAGTTGGAATGGGAAACCCTATTATTGATAGATTTTTTTTAAAAGGCTCTACAGTAGATTACCAAAAATTTCATCCAAGATGGGTGGGGATAAATGTCAACGAATGTGGACAGCTGCTTTCTCGTTATTGGACGCCTACGTTGGTTTATTACTGTTAGCCGATCAAATTATAACTGGTGATAAAACAGGTTGTAACTTCAATTGTAGACAAAAACATAGCCCATAAAGTGGAGGCACACAGAATCCACCCAGAAAACAATATTCTATCCTATATTGTTCTGCAATTTTCAGGGTTTGCAAACCATGTCAGCAAGGAAAAACCAACTGTGTTTTGGGGTGGTAAGGTTCGAGCTTATTATAGAACTATAAACTCTGAGCGGTACTGTGAAACTTAGAAGAGTAAACAAGCACCAAGGAAAATTGACGTCTACAATTTTACTATTTAATGACAATAATGGAACTCACAAGTCTAACTTATCCAAATGCTCTTAGATGCAGGTGGATAACAATGACCAGTGTTAATGTAATGTAAATAAAGCTTCAAATTATTATTTTGATAGTCTGTTGTTTATAAAACTGTATAAGAATACATACAATCGATGTTTTATCATTTGCAGATTGATGGAAACTACACCGGTGAACCCCCGCCTCTGGAAGTGACTATTTTTAATCTCAACGACAATATCGACAAAGCCTTCTTGCTGGAAAAGGTAAGTTTTAACATTTTCTGCACTGTTACAAAACAATTATCATTTCAATCTTACACAAATGTGGTCAATTCAATTACAGGCTTTAACAGATTTATCGTACATTCAAACATTGGCTTTTACGGACTACTATGGGTAAACTAAGTATACTATTTACAGTTTAAAATGACTATCAGCAGTAAAATACTGGATAAATCTCTAACAGAAATAACTGCTTTTCTCAAATTAATTTTTGGACACTTTAATTATGAATCATTTAATTCAAAAAGACACATACAGGTGACATTTTTTACAGTGTTTAACTTACATACTTCATACTTTTTCGGGAAAAAATAATTTAATTGTGAATTATGTTAAATCAAATGTTAATGAACCTCTTTAATTAGGTTAGCCTTCTCAGTAGAGATGCAAGTTATCGTTGTTTCCCAGCAACACAACGGCGACAGCAACGTTTTTCACCTGACAATAACAGGTTGCCACATCCTGTTGTTCAGCAACATTGCTAAATGCCTGTTGTCAATGGGCATTGTGTCCCAGCGATTGTTTTTAAATAAGTTAGACGTTACTGAACATTTACTAAGAGGTGCAAACTGATCATCGACAACGTTTTACAAGACATATGACTCTACTTCTTAGCTCAGACATGTGTCTTGATAAAAGACAGTTAATATAAGTGATTCCTCACCTTGAGCTCTGAAGTGTTATTAGATGATAAAACAAAACAAAATAGGTTTTCCTGGGTAGCCTATTGTTAGGAACCTCAACTTTTCTGGCGCAATAGTTTTCTATTTCTTTCAACACTAAAATCAGGAAAATCCGTCAAGTGGTTGATTCAGAATCGTGAAATAAAATAACCCTGTCACGTTTTAATATAAGAGTAGTATAACTTCTCCTATTATTTACTATTGGGACTTAGGTTTACAATCTTAAAAACTGTTATTAACAAATGTAAAATTATTACAAAAAAATTCAACAAATTTTAGGATTAGGCTACTAGCTTTTACTAGTTAGGCCTAGGTTTACAATGCTTTGGTTTGAACTATTAGTCCTAGATTTACAGCTATTCTATCAATTGTAATGAAACGTATGTCATATTTTTACATGTAAGTTGGACGATTCAACGACGAGCCGTTAATTTTAAGTCTATGAATTAGTTATGAACGTCACGATGGTTAATGACTGAATTAATTAATGGTTTTGGTTTATTACGACATCCATTAATTTGTCCATTAAATTTGTCATCTGTGTTTGAGAACTCGCGTGTATTTTAGATTAATTTCATAGTGGTTTAATTGGTACTACTGGGTTTTCAATATGTTTCATATTCTGTTGTTTTCCTATACTAATGGCATTTATATTTATGATCGAAATCATAAAAATTTAATAGGATGTTGTACGATAAAATACAAAAAAAATATCACTTTTTAATGATTTTTTAATTGCCATTTTAATTATTTAGGGTTAGGTAGCTGTTAAAAGTGGAATTGGTAACAAAAAACAATAACAATTACTGTATCTTTATTAACACTGATATTTTGAAATACGTCTGTGTATGATTATTTCGTCTACAAGGTTGGCAACGTTCCGTGCAGTGGGCCCGGCCGGATTAGCGACTTCCAGAGTTAGCCAATTCCGCTGCGGGACAAAATCAATTTAGCGGGTTCCGGAGTTAGCCAATTCCTGACTGGGACGGTTAGCCAGTTCCGACACACGACCGAGTTAGCGACTTCCAGAGTTAGCCAATTCCTATGTCTCTTCAAAATCTTACATATCTGCCACTAAAACTGTTTTTTTATTGTTTTCCAAACCATAGACTGTTTATTGTATCCTTATATTTATTTTATTAGGTCGAAAAGCTATCATATACCCAACATTCTTGTATTTTCAGTCAACTGTAAAAAAATACTACAAACATATTTTTTTGCCCACCAAAGTTGCAAAAATTACATTAAACTTGATTAAATGTTAGTTATGTTTAATTACAGTTTTATGTAGTTATGCAACAATGCAACACAAAATTGTCAAGTTCATACGTAGAATTTGTATATGGTGCAGGCTAGTAAGCTAGGGAGCAGATCTATAAGGTACATCCCTAGTTATGATGTCTATGGAACATTTTGCTTCAAATAATTTATGATCCATGATGTTCATTTAATACATCTTTCGACATATTTTGGTAAATCCACACTTCAGGCCCAAACAAACACTGAGATAATCAAAATGGTCTTTGTTTGCAGACTACTAAAAGTCACACTTAAAAATAGCTTCCATACGAAAAATGTAATCGATAAGTTATTTAAATAACTCGATCTTTTTGTTGTTATTCATAATCAATTGTCCTGTTTATCTTGTTATTCAGGTACAGAAGGCGGGGCCTGTTGATGAGATGTTTATTTACTTCCACCCCTTGACCAACAAGCACTTGGGACTTGCGAGAATTGTCTTTGAAGATACCAAGTCAGCCAAAGCCTGCGTTGATCGTCTCAACAACACCTCAGTCATGGGAAAGTTGCTCAAAGTATTTCTCGACCCTTTCGGTAAGTTCCTGGATGTTTGGAGTCTGGACAAGATCGTGGGCGTATTGAAAATATTATCTGACAATATGGTTACTCTACAGTGAAGTGGTAGAGCAAGGGGCTTCAGTCCCTGAGGTCCTGGGTTAAAATTCTGCCAATCGACAATAGCTTTAGCTTAAAAAAAGAGGACAATTTAAACTACTTTAAAAGAACGCAAACATATTTTAAAATTTCTATTTTATTTTATAGAAGACTTTTTTCAAACAAAAATGATGATATTAATTTAGCCTCAATCACGGAAGACAATGATGTCTCCATGACCGCATGAGATGATTACGACTTTACCTTGAGTTTGGCTTGATCGAAAGTCTTAGGCTGGCACACCCTTAGTTAAAATAAAATTTTCTTTTTGTAATATCTTCATTTACCTTCAATGTGCCATGTGTTTGGAAGGGTTTAGACTTAAATTAGTTAGTTCAAAGTTGTATTGCAGTATCATTTATTTATTTTATTCTAAATCTCCTTCTTTTTCTCTACAAAATGAGCATATGACTAGGTTATCATAAGTAATTTAGACACTGCAAATTTCTAAAAAGAACTCTCGCGAAATCACAAAAATGACAGGGACATTCATCCAGACCATCAGGCAGTCCTAAGATTAACTAAAGAACAAATTAGAGGAGAGGGAAAATTACTTTTTGACACAAGACAATTAATGTAGACGTCATTAAACTTTTGACAGGCTACCATTTTGGATGGAGAAGAGATAGCCAACTCTGGTTTTCACCATTCTTTAAAGTTTTTGTAAACACCTTCAAATGAGGTGACACTTGAAGGGGGTTTACATTTAAACATTTTGAGTTACCTCCAAAATCCCCCTCTTTTGGGAGACACAAAATTTTCTAAATCATAAAATGAAACTGCCTGCTTGGATTGCATGATCACCAAAAGGATATCTCTGTATATTTACTTAGAATAATATTAGATGGGCTGTCTTGACTTTTTATCCACCCTGTATAGTCTAAATATATTTTTAAGTATTATTAGACATTTGTTAATGTAATTTCTGTAAAGTTAGAACAATATTAGATGGGCTGTCTTGACTTTTTATCCACCCTGTATAGTCTAAATATATTTTTTAAGTATTATTAGACATTTGTTAATGTAATTTCTGTAAATTTAATAACACGTACAATCCTGATGTAGAAGTTATTTATTTACACTTTAATTCTGTCAAAACAAATTCAGTATTAGTGCCACAGTAGAGATGATCTTTTCTTCACACCAAACTTAGAAAGGTGTAACTAATGGTGTGTGATTGTAGGGAAAGAGCCTCTTGGTCACGGCAAACCTCCTGATATCCTTCTCCACATTCCAGTCCATGTAAGATCCTTATCCTCAATTCTTTTCTCCTTATTTTTTTGCCATAATATTTATAGTAGGCCTATGTAAAATTTAAAAGTCAAATAATACTGTACTTGCAGCTTTATACAACAAAAACCTAAAGTCTAAAAACCTCCCATGAATGCTTTGTTTAGTTGGCAATGGTCTTTATAGATTTATTTCAAAAAGTGCCAACTTCTTTTACACATGTATAATTTTATTGCTCAATTTCAATGCATTTGTATGCTAGTGTTTCATATTTGACACATTATTTGGATTAGTTCTTAAAACTTTTTTTTTTACCCTAATCAAAATCATTGGATGGTTCTTTTTAATATAAAACTGTTTTAATATTTCTTCAGTTGTCAGACCAATCTCTCTTTACTGATATCACATTATCTTTCAGGTGAAGAGTGCCAGAAAAAGTTTACTGAAATGACTTCTGAGAAAAAAACTGAAAAAGAAGTCACGACTGTAGAGACTAAAGCGGAGGAGAGTTCTTCCAAATCCAAACCGAGTAAGGAAAAAGAAGAACCCTCGAAAGTCAAATCAACAACCACATCAAGTACGAAGTCTTCTGAAAAAGACAAGATTAGTGAAGAAAAAGAAGAGAAGCATAACCAAAATAGTGACTACCGAAATTTCAGAAGTCGGGATTTTCCTACACCAAATTCGTCAACCAGCTCAGATCAAGGATACCATACGACACAAAGTGAAACACCTACATACGGCAGTGGTTCTGAGAGGAACTACCCATCCAGCTTTGCTAATAGTACTGCCTCTCCCTTTGAAGCTCCTGCTTTTCCTCAGTTAAATCATGTTCAGCCTCTTCAGAGTATGGCTTTCACAATGCCCCCACCCAATATGGGGAATCCGGGTATTCCTCGTCCTCCTATTAGCATGGCTCTGCGCCACCCAAGACATCCGATGAGGCATCCGAGCATGCCGATGCCGTATCACATGCCACCGCATCACCCTCTACCTCCGCCCAACTGTCCCCCACCAAATTGTCCTCCCCCAAACTGTCCTCCGCCCAACTGTCCTCCCCCTAACTGTCCTCCTCCACATCATCCACCCCTACCTCCTCCCCCAATGGGCATGAGACCACCCCAGTGGACTAACTGGTCGCACCATCACCGCTGGGAAGGCCCACCAGGCCCACATCCTTTGCCTAAAAGCACTCCGACCTGGATTGCTCATACAACCATTGAAGAAAAAGGCCCACCTGTTAATGTGAAACCACAAATCAGTCCTGGGGCGACTCAAGGTGTAGGGCAGAGCCAGCAAAACTTAGATCTTGACACTAGGATAGAACTGCTTCTAAAAGAAAGAACAGCTGGAGGTATGAACCCACCTTTTCTAAAAATTATGAGTGATTCAGGGGAGTCTGATGATGATTTGAGGAAATCACCGTCCAGCAAGCTAAAAGGAAAGCAAGATACGATAAACTCACGGCTGAAACAAGGTTTAGGAGAGAATCAATCGAATACGTCGTGCGACAGTTCTCTCCCGACTGACAAAGATAAGACTGTAGATGAAGAACCTCGATCTCCTCTTTCCCAGCCGCCTTCTCCCTTTGTATCTGAGGAAGCTTACTTACATTGGTATAGAAAGGGTATCGAACAAACGAGGAAAGCTAAAATCCAAGAGTTGGGATTTTTAACTAATGTAGCCAAACTCGCTTCAAAGGATGAAATTCACAGTGAAATAAGTTCAAGCGAAGATGAAATCCTTACAAGAAAAAGCCCTTCTTCCAAAGCAAATGAAGAGGAAATAGAACCTAAGTCGACTCCTCTTCAAGATGAGATTGACGATAGAATGAGCCTGTCAAGCTTGAGCTCAGGAGATGAGAAGATCGAGACTGTACCAACACCGTATCATCATCAGCCTCCTCAACATATTCCTCCGCCTCAACCCTTACATCCTCCTCTCCACCCCATACATCCACATCCTCACATGCCTCCTATGAATGGTCCACCACCAAGATTCATGTCCACTGTTCCACCCCCACCGATGCCGTACCAGCCGTACCACCACAACAATTACCACCAACCTCATTTCCCTCATATGCCACCGGTTCATCACCAACCGCAGCACCATCCACAGTACCACCAACCTCCTCAGTACAACCAACCTCCTACAAACCCATTCTGGCACAGACAACCGATGCCTGGAGGCCCAGGCCCAGGTCCAGGTCCAGGCCCAAGCCCATACCACATGTACAATATGCCCTCCTACCCCCAGTTCCATGGGAACTCACCTCATGTTAACAGGCCTCATTATCCCATGAGGCCTCCAACACCTGTTCAGACAATGCCGAACAACTTTCAGAACATTCCTCCGAGTACTCCAGCTTCACAACCGCCGCCGCTATCCAAACCACTTCCTCCTTTGCTTAAGTAAGTGACACTGTATGGGTTTATAAATTGATAATTAAATCATTGTCATGATAACATTTCAATATCTGCAAGAAACAGTTCTATGATTTATTCTCTGGAAGCTATGTTAATTTATTTCGCCCTTACATAGCCAACATGACTTGCTTTTGTATTTGTCTCAGTTCTTCATTTCTGGCTGTTGCCTTCCGGATTACTAAACAATTACTAATCTGGAGGTAACAAAAATATTTATAACCAGGTTTCTTCCTTGGCTAGTGACCTGGAAAACCTGGAAATGTCAGGGAATATTAAATATCTGGAAAAGTCATGGAAAAGTCAGGGAATTTCGCCATAAATCAGGGAAAATTGTAAAATGTTTAAAATAATTTTAATAATTGTTAGGAAAGGTCGATCTGGTGAGAGTACATATGCCGTGTGGGTGAAAACTAAGAAATATGTCTGTACAAATAAATTTTGTATTTTTGTACAAATTAAATTTTGTTATAAACTGCATATCATCTTATCAAACTCAGTTTAATTTTATTAAGGCAAGTTGCAAAGTTTGAATATAAACTAGCCTGTATCTATAGATTTTATGTATTTTTTTGAAACATAAGATATTCTTCAGATAAAGATTAGTCCTTTTGAAGAATTGGTTAGGATTAAAATTGTAATTTTGAATTTGTCGATCAGGGAAAGTTTAAAAAAAATCATGGAAATGTCAGGGAAAAGTCAGGGAATTTTTCAATGTGATTTCACTAGCCACCCTGTTGTATATCGGGTCACTATTTAGTCCGGTCAGGTGATAATCAGTCACAACCTTCTACCTAGGACCAATATCTCATCCCTCTTCTTCATTTTTGTAAACTGCACAGTAATGACAGCAGGATGCTTAGCACTTCTGGCTGGATCAAAAGATGAGCCGCTTCTTTCTATATTGTTATTCTCCAGGCTCACTTGTAATCCTCTACCACATTCATGATTATCTACTTAACAAACACATTTTTTCCGCTACTTATCTTTATATCAAATAACCTTTCTTCCATGTTTCCAGTCGTAGCGTTTCTCTGAGTTGTTAATTTGCTTATTCTAAAAATGAATTATTTTAATCAGATTATTTAGTTTCTTCTTTTTCCAGCGCTGACATGGTTTTGAACTGTATTTTTATGGATTCATTTTTATCATTAATAAACAGCTGGCTTCTTTTCATTCATTTGCTTTGAACATACCATATCAACAATCCCCAATTAGTTCAGTATCATCTATAAGTTCTTTAAATTTACGTTAAGCATTTTCTAATATCAGTTGTCACTTAACACAGTAAGTCTTGTTATTACCATATGCCAATCTCAAAGAAATTCATTTTTCTTTGTTTAGCACTGTATTTATTCTAAAAATGTAGTCGACCCTTCTAAATATGTGAAAAACATTTTTTAATTTACTTGTCTGCAGTGATTGAAATTCTGACATTATTGTAAGTCTATTTATCCTAGTTAACATAATTTCTCGATGTTTGTAATATATATTTTCTATCCTATCTATTCTCAATCAACTGCTGTTTTATTGTAAGAAGCTCAGATGAGGTAAGGAAGAGCACCTTGAGTAATTTAATTTGTCAAATTCATCAGTTGCCTGGACATGAAGGGATCAGGATGTGCAATAATCTAACACTTGATTAAATGAGTATGGACCTACATCCACCCAAAAAGAGGATTAACGCATGTGTTTTGGTAAAAAACATCCTAACATGATACTCGGTTCTTTCCTTTTATCACAAATATAAATTCAATGTTAAAGTCTCTTAAGGAATATAAAGGACACAAATGAAATGTGTATGTTTTCAGAGATGTTGTTGACGGTGTAACCAAAGAACTAAAACAAATCTTGAAAAGAGACTTCAATAGAAAAATGGTTGAAAACACTGCCTTCAAGAGTTTTGAGCTTTGGTGGGATGAGCAAAAACTGGCGGAACAGGTAATCGACTATTACAGTTTGTTTTTTTATCTTAACTCTTATATTTGAAAATGTAGGCCTATTCGTTATTTACATTATTTATGTTAAAGTTTTTATCAAACTATAGGTATGAAGTCATGACTACGAATTTCTATTGAGCTATAAATAGTGCTGTTGGCAGTGAATTTGTTATATATTATGCTACATTTGTGCTATATAACAACTTTATCTTTGTGAAACTATATATAAACTTGATTTGTTTTTATTTGACAATTTTTGTCAAGAGTAAAATTTGCTTCTCAGAGGCAGTTTACCAACAAAAATAGTAAGTCTTAAATAATGTCAACCACTTATAACTCATTATTACCATACTCTTCTACCAAATGCCATGTAGATTATTGTTTATTGTATTGTACATCTAGGAAGTAAAGACTGCTTCGGTAGAGTCAGGAGCCACCACTACAAAGCCTGTCCCTACAGAGTCTCCGTTGACCAAAGACAGTTACCTCAATTCTAACAAAGTGTTATTGTATTGTACATCTAGGAAGTAAAGACTGCTTCGGTAGAGTCAGGAGCCACCACTACAAAGCCTGTCCCTACAGAGGCTCTGTTGACTAAAGACAGTTACCTCAATTCTAAAAGTGTTATTGTATTGTACATCTAGGAAGTAAAGACTGCTTCGGTAGAGTCAGGAGCCACCACTACAAAGCCTGTCCCTACAGAGGCTCTGTTGACTAAAGACAGTTACCTCAATTCTAAAAGTGTTATTGTATTGTACATCTAGGAAGTAAAGATTGCTTCGGTAGAGTCAGGAGCCACCACTACAAAGCCTGTCCCTACAGAGTCTCCGTTGACCAAAGACAGTTTCCTCAATTCTAACAAAGTGTTATTGTATTGTACATCTAGGAAGTAAAGACTGCTTCGGTAGACTCAGGAGCCACCACTACAAAGCCTGTCCCTACAGAGTCTCCGTTGACCAAAGACAGTTACCTCAATTCTAACAAAGTGTTATTGTATTGTACATCTAGGAAGTAAAGACTGCTTCGGTAGAGTCAGGAGCCACCACTACAAAGCCTGTCCCTACAGAGTCTCCGTTGACCAAAGACAGTTACCTCAATTCTAACAAAGTGTTATTGTATTGTACATCTAGGAAGTAAAGACTGCTTCGGTAGAGTCAGGAGCCACCACTACAAAGCCTGTCCCTACAGAGTCTCCGTTGACCAAAGACAGTTTCCTCAATTCTAACAAAGTGTTATTGTATTGTACATCTAGGAAGTAAAGACTGCCTCGGTAGACTCAGGAGCCACCACTACAAAGCCTGTTCCTACAGAGTCTCTGTTGACTAAAGACAGTTACCTCAATTCTAACAAAGTGTTATTGTATTGTACATCTAGGAAGTAAAGACTGCCTCGGTAGACTCAGGAGCCACCACTACAAAGCCTGTCCCTACAGAGTCTCCGTTGACCAAAGACAGTTTCCTCAATTCTAAAAGTGTTATTGTATTGTACATCTAGGAAGTAAAGACTGCTTCGGTAGAGTCAGGAGCCACCACTACAAAGCCTGTCCCTACAGAGTCTCCGTTGACCAAAGACAGTTTCCTCAATTCTAACAAAGTGTTATTGTATTGTACATCTAGGAAGTAAAGACTGCCTCGGTAGACTCAGGAGCCACCACTACAAAGCCTGTTCCTACAGAGTCTCTGTTGACTAAAGACAGTTACCTCAATTCTAACAAAGTGTTATTGTATTGTACATCTAGGAAGTAAAGACTGCCTCGGTAGACTCAGGAGCCACCACTACAAAGCCTGTTCCTACAGAGGCTCTGTTGACTAAAGACAGTTACCTCAATTCTAACAAAGTGTTATTGTATTGTACATCTAGGAAGTAAAGACTGCTTCGGTAGACTCAGGAGCCACCACTACAAAGCCTGTTCCTACAGAGTCTCCGTTGACCAAAGACAGTTACCTCAACTCCATCTTAGACCACAGAAGAGAACTAGATTCTTATGGTTCATTTGGACTTGGGTTCCGTGCCACCCTTCCTAAAATGCCATCATTTAGGGTAACTATATAATTCCTTTTTTTGTTTCCTAACCTTCTTATTCTACTTCTACTTTTGAATTGGAACATAGTTTTTTATATAGCTTTTTAAATTTGTTTGATTAAATTATTAAATATGATTTGTATACTTTTCTTCATGATGACTGATGATATATTCTCTAGTATTTATAATTAAAATATGTTCATAAACAAGCAAACTACAACGGTTTACTTATTTCCACTTATTTACAATAAACTATGGTTTATTTGATTTCATTTATCATTCTTGTGACAGGTTCTTTTTTCCTTCTGGCCTTTTGTCTATAAAGTACAGTTTTTTTTTCTTTTGATGTGCACTTTTTTCTTTTTTTTTACTTGAGGTATGCTCAGTTTTGCTGATAGAAAATGTTACAGTAGCACTCCAAATATTCGGAACAATTGAGACCAGACCCCATCTGGATACCCAACAATCTAATTGAATTGTTCTTAAGCGAGTTAGTGTAACGTGTAACTAACTGTCCTCTGTTTTTAGAAAAAGGTACCACCACCACCACCACCAGAAGAGTCCAGGGACGGTGAAGAGCCTATGGTCGTGGAGGAAGAAGAAGATGAAGATGATCCATCTCAGGTGAATACAAACTCTCTAGTCTCTAGTGAGTTGTTTAGAAAATTTATTGAAGTACAGCTAACATTGTGTTTAACCCTTTGCCCGCCATAAGTGAGTATAATTGAGCACCACAAACATACTGCCAGCACCATTAGTCCCTGTACCTACCTACTCACATAGTCGTTTCTATCCACAATTATTAGTTATGACTATGAGCTCAGTAGTCCCTCGAGTACAGTAGTTCTTCGATAATTTGGATCCTACCCTATCCGGCTCAATCCCCCCTTAAAAAATACATCTTTTAAAGTACCAAGACAGTTACCAAGAACAGGAAAGTCAGGAATTATGATAATGATCATAGTTTTTGTGGGAATATGGGGAATTTTGATATTTTACCGGAAAAATCTTATTTTGATTTTAGTGCGGTCACAGCAAAAACTAAAATATCTTCTGTGGTCACCGTAAAATCGTAAATACCTTTCACAGTCACGCCAAAATGGTGAACATCTTCCGAGGTCATGGCAAGATTGAGAACATGTTCAGTAGTCAGTTTTTGAGATACTTAATTTCACAGGCATCTATATTGATTACAGTTGACCCCCCCCCCCCCTGGATAATCGAGGTTTACTATATTCTGTTTTCTGGTAAGTAATTGTACTGTGGAGGTTAACTATTCAGTAACTGCCTTAAGTTTCCTCCGCTAACCTGTTCATGGAAAAACTTTAAACATGTTTCCTATAATCCCAAAAAGTACAACCTTGTAGCTGAATTTTTCGTGGCTGCTAGGCTACTATGTTTTGCGTTATAACCTGCAAATTGATTGTGTCTCTGTTTAATTGATTGCCTACCACATATTCTTAGTTCATTAATCAAATCCTTTCTAAAATTTAGCGGCTAAGTTTTTTTTTTATATTAAGCTAAAACAAATTAAACAAAGTAATATTGTTTTTGTTTATTTTCTTCAACACAAAGTTTATATACTCTATGATTGGCAGGGTGACTCAGGGATTGCCTCTCAGAGTAAGGAAAGTCAAGAGTCTGAGGAGGTTCAAGATGATAGCACTAGTAGTGCCTCTGACTCTTCCTCAGACGACGATGACTCATCTTCCGACTCTTCCAGTTCTAGCGAGGATGAGCCTATCATCAAAGCTTTGAGCTTCCTTGACGTTGAAGACATTGAGAGATATTTGTCGTAAGTAATTTATCCCACCCTTGCATTGAAAGTCTTAAATGCTTTAACTGACCCATTTGTCTTTGATCACCCTTAGAATTAGTTGGCGTTGTATTTAATATCATGTTCATCTTGCAGTAAAGGCATTTTTTGTCTTATGAGAGATATCAACATTTCTGGAAACATCATGTTTGTTGTGAGTTGTGTCAACTGTCCTTACAACCCTTGTAAAGGTGCAAAGTACATTTAAATTTAGGGATGGGTCGTTTATTAAAGTCAGTTGTCGGTTTTACCGGACAAAGGAAAAAACCGGTTTTGTTATTTTGTAATCATTTTGCTGGTTAGGAGAACATAAAGGGCTTATCAGATGTTTGTTTACGACTTTCATAATTTATTACTCTGTTAATGAAGCAATAAAAAACTAATTAGCAGTCCCAAACCCACTATTATTTTATAATAATAATTTATCATACTTCCAAGAACTCAGCACATAAAGGTTTTATTACTTAGATTGTTAATCTCTTTATTCCCTTATTTTTTACTGGGGTAATTATGAAATCTAAAAGTCTGTTATCATGGTAATGATAGTTTTATGATGGTTGTCTCAAACAGTATTATTGTGGTGGATTATTTTTACCGATGGCTTTTGCCTACAGGGCCGGTTTAACCCATACGCAAACTACGCGGCCGCATATGGCGCCACAAAAAAGTGGCGCCGTGGCGCCAACGGAACAATTTTTTTTTAACAACGTAATTTTGTTTATTTTTGCTCAGAGTTCAAGCATTCAAAGCACCACAATCAAGGCATTTATTCTGTTTGTACCAACAGCACTTGAAAAATGTGTATATTTGTACAGCCCTACAACAAAGACTTAATGCCATTTGCAGTTTCGTTTCGATTTGTAGTGAGCTGACGCTCGGCAGCGTACAGCGCGGCGCTTTTGGGTTTAATTTCATGACTCATGCTCGAGATAAGCAAGCGCGCAGCACCACTTGTTACAACAAGAAACTTCCCTCCCTTCTACTTCTGATACCTCTCCCGTCCTGGAGCTGAGCATTACGTTGTATTGTATTGCACTCTTTTAGTTGTATACTACACCTGTTCTGAACCAGATTGATACCGACTCAGCAATTAAAGAATTTGCCAAGATCAAAGCTAGGAAAATTAATTTTAACTGCTAAGAGCTTTTCTGTTCAAGAACTGTTCAAATTGAAAATTTGTTATTCTTTTTGTCAAGGTAATAAATTTGTTTTTTCATGTTTTCTACATGTTTAATGTGTTCAATTAAAAATGCCTCTCTTGTCATCTACCTACACCTGTTTTTCATTGTAATAGGCTTTGTAAAAACTTATATCGTATCCAAGTTATTTGTAAAAATTGTGTTCACATTTAGAAATACATTTTTAACTTAGGCCGTGATGCTCGTCAAGCATGACGTCACGATAGACGACGGCAATGACGTAGGTATTTATTTTCCAAAGAAAGATTAAAACAAACAGCTGATCACTAACGGCAAACATTGCGCCATTGCCGTCTTCTATAGTGACATCATGCATGACGAGCATTAGGGACTGTTTTTTTAGTGTGGCCTTGGTTTTGCTAAAAATTATATGATGAGTAAAAGTGTAAAAATGTTAAATTTCTGGGAATAATAAACAGTCTTTTATTGCAAGTATTCTTCTAACCTAAACTTATAAAAAGGTTCTCTTCCCAAAATCGTTAGGAAAAAATTCACAAATATAGTTAAGTAATGTTCATGGGTTGTGGGGGGAGTGGGTGGGGTGGTAAGGGGGGATTCCAAATGGCGCTGATTCGGGTGTTCGCTTAACTCTGAAAAATTCCTAGAACCGGCCCTGATTGCCTACTCCTACTACCATAGAATTGTTTATGGTTTCATATTAAACGTGTAACTAATTTACAGTTATATATTTAATACTTAAAATATGTTTTAACTATTTTATCGTCAATTGATGAAACCACAAGCATGGTTGTTTGCATGTTTTTAACATTACGCAGGCCTACCTTTGTCTTATAATGTTGATTGTTTAGGTTTGAATATTTTTTGTGTTGTATACCTTATGCAACATAAATCTTATCAACCAGAATGATGTAGTGACTTTGCTAGTTCAATAACCTTTTTTTTTTTTTTTGTTATTCAAGCAATTTATAGTAAGTTACGATTTCCATTTTTTTACGTTTGTACTACCTTTACATGAGTAGAGAGAACATTTTTATTTAAATAAGTTATTTAAGGGAAAACCCGAAAACCGACAAACGAGAACCGATTTAAAAAAAAAACCGAACCGATAAAACAGCAACTGACCCATCACTATTTAAATTATTTGTGTACTTTTATGCCTTACATTAAGATAGATTGGGGTTAGTGAAGATGCATGTCTTGAATTTAGAATCAGTGGTTTTTGTAGCAAAAATTAACATTAGAGTGTGAACTAAAAAGTTAAGAAGTAAGATCGCTTAAACTGCCACTCGAAATACTTGGCACGGTGAACATAAAGTGGGCAGGAACAAAGCTACACAAGAGCTCCACTTTCACACATTTCTGGTCTGAGATGCACCTAGTTGTCCTCTTTGAGATATACAATGATAAAGAAGAAATCAATCTGTAGGGACACTGCATTATGTACAACAAAACTCATTAAATACCCTATTGAACAGCCCTTACCAAACTCACCACTTGCCAACTATGGTTCATGCTTCAAACTCAGTATGTAGAATTCCTTATTGACATTTGAGATTTTTTACAGGCCAATACGTAGATATTATTTCACCTTACCAAAAACCAGATCTTTAACATCAAATTTATTTATTTGGTGAGAACAGCCTTCTTAAATAGCAACCTTATTGATGTGAACTATTATTTAATATGATATATATACTATTATTTAATATATATTTATTTAATATATTTATATATACTATTTTTTAATATATTTCACCCCACATTCATGTTATTTTGTCACTAACTAGAATAAAATAGTGTAAAACCTTTTTCATGTTAAAACAAGCACCAGAGGTTCTGAAAATTAAACTATTTTATTTCAATTAGTTAAAATATTTGTCCACAAATAAAAGAACAAAATCCCTTTACAGATAAAACAAAAAATAATAAGTCCTTTGAGTAGATAATTTAAATAGGGAAATTATGTATCTCAACAATGAAACCCAATCCAAGATCTAAACAGAAGAAAGGAGTTGCTTATCATTAAAAGTTTGACTTCAAACAGGCCTATTGAATTTTACTGATAACAAGTGAGCCCTTTTGTCCTTGGGTTCTTTCTTTACGGTAAAAACCATGTACTTTGAAATAATCTAATTACTGCATTCACTAATACAGTGGTTTATAAACTGGGTTTAACAAATTCACTTCTTATTTGTAAGTATCAAAACATATATTTAGAACTTATTTTGCATTGATCTACTGGTTTACCCAGCTGTCAGCCACCATTCATCTTAATCTACAAAACAGGTTAATTGCTCAATTAGTACTGTATCAAATTTATTAATGCTATGAAATCTGACCTTACAGAACGAAAACACCAACTGGTCTGAGCACTCCCATTCCGTCCGATACAGAGAGCTGGATATCAGAAAAACCAGATCTGACTGTTTTTGAGGTGGAACTAGAAGACAGTGAAATGACTATGGAAGAGCCAAGTCAGAGTGTAATAGAGGAGATGGATGTGATGTCACTGCCCAAGACTCCGAGAGTGGACCATTCTAGTGAGAGTGAGGATGAGACGACGTTAGCCAAGCGGAAAGAGAAGTTGGAGAAGAAAGAAGAACCTGTGCTGTCTCCTCCTCAGCTTTCACCTCCTCATATCAGTAAACCAGGTAGGAGTTAAAACACAATTGTGTCATAAAGATTCTTTACTCCCCCTGCTTTTGCACACAAGTTAGTAGTTTGCACATAAGTTTATTGTGAAAACCGTGCGACTTTGATTGGTTGTCTCTTAATAATAGGGCTCTGTGGTATAGAAAATTTACGGTCAGTACAATTCGGTACGGTACATTATTTTGTGCCATGATTCTCGGTACGGTGGGTTGGCTACCTGTAATTTTACCATTTTCTTCTCAGGATTGTATTCAAACCATTATTTTTAATTTTATTACTTTGACATTACTATAAAGATGGATATTATCCTACATTCATGGTTCTCACAGTACTATTCATTACTAAAACCTTTAACTTCTAACAGGATTGTCTCAAGAAAGAAACACAGTTAAGATAAAGGCTTTTCCTACTTTATTACTAAAATAAGTCATAGCCATGATAAAAGGTTTTAAAATTAGGTTAAGTAATTTTAGGAACTAACATGTTTGAAGCAACAACCTGACAAAAAGATTCAACTTTACTGGTAACATTATTCCAACTAACACTTAATAACTGGGTGTTTAGTTTAAACTTTTAAACACATATCAATTCAATTCATTCTACACAAAAGTAATCTCATATAGTCCATAATAATATTGCAAATATTCCACAATATCTACAAAAACTGGTTAATACTGTCTGGTTATAAATGAATAGCGTAGTAAAAGTTTTGCAACAAAACCGTTTTCCTGTATACCTGAACTTAATACACTATTTCATGTAAAGATAATTATAACAGATGGGATTATGACAAATGAGACAGTCCTTCCTTAGGACTGTGTAGTGCAGTTCTAACCTACAAATTGATTGTGTCTCTGTTTATTATTGTATTCATCGGTTGTCTTTTTTTTATGATGTTTTAATTCATATTTAAAATTTTGTTACTAAAGTCAACTTAATTTTTCTAGCCGTCCAGAAAGAGAAGTCCCGTTCAAAAGCTAACGGTGTGATGCCAGATGCAATGCGGGACATTTTGGAGCAGAAACTGCACAAATCAAAGAACAGAACAGCACCTCCTCACATAGCCCAAGACCACTCTTACTGTTTGCCTGCTATAGACGTACCTGCATACATCAATCATGACCACGGCTACAGTTCCAAGAGTAAGGGACGAACCACTGATGAACCTGACCTCAAGAGAGCCAAGACTGAACAAATAACCACTCCTGCACCCAAGCCGAGGTAAGTTTAACGTCTATCAGTAGAACCTCTCTTAACCCTTACCACTCTCGTGTCGGCCGTGAGCCAACATCGGCCATTTCGCAATCGTATCACATGTTGGCTTAAACAAAAATTAATTAATTAATTTAACATTTTTTTTAAATATATTTTTTTAAATTTTATTATTAGTGTAATTGGAAGTTAAAATACTGTTAGACATAATGACCCACGTTATAAATTAAACCTAGAGCATAGGGCATAGGCCCTTAAAATGAGAGAAGTAAGGATTAAATGAAATGGAGGGGGAATCTTTTGGATAGCAAAAATGTCTGTTATAAATGAAAGCTTAACCGTGCAAACTGGGGCATAATGCACTGACACTTTAGAGAATCTAACAGGCATTTCTAGGGTTAAAAAATCATTTTAACAAAGATTTACGATATTGTTATGTCCATTAACAGTTCTTCAATCTCAATCAACAGTTATTCACTGTATCAACCTATGTAATCTGTATGAAATATTATATTTTATAGCATCCAATTTTTTAAACGTAATATGCACAGCTTAGATTGTTTTTGTGCCATACTCAGAAGTAGCATTTGTTATGATTATTGATTATGATAACAATCATGAAGCGTTGTCAAAACAAGTACAAGGATGGATAAAAAACACAATAATACATTTGATTAATTCTATTGTCATTGGGATTTTTATCTAGCTTTATTAACTATTTATAAGGCATAACTACACATTCATAACAATATAAACCTTGTTTTGCAGTAAATCATACTCTAAGCGGCCCATCATGGAGGAGATGCTTATTCTTTATGAGTTCCTCACCAAGGGTATTGATGAGGAAGACGTCAAGTATATGAGGCAGAGCTACGAGGCACTACTGTCGTCAGATGATAGTGTCAGTTACTGGCTCAACGACACTCATTGGGTCGACCATCCAAATATCCTTTACTACTTCATACCTTGTTTTACTTTTTCTTTTTAATACTTTCTTATGAAATGGCGAATTTTAAGCCAAGTATGAATGGAGATGAGTGTAGGATGAGTGGCGCGTTCTTGTAGTCTTGTTAGTGACTAAGGCTGACATTCTTTAGACACAGCTGTTAATTAATAGCCCAAACAGCTAATGGCAACTAAGGGACCTACAGTTTGTAGTGGAATCCGAACCACATTTTTTCCTTGGTATATATGAATTGGTCTAATTATCAGGATAGTACTGCGGATAGTCGTAATACTCACTACTAAATTTAGTTTTATCATATACTTTCAAGTCTCTCTAACTCAAAATTCATGGTACAATTTTTATTAGGATTATATGTAGTCCTACTTAAATATATTGTGTGTTGTTTTGTAGAGGTTTTTTTATATTAAACAAGGCTTTATGAGGTAAATTAATCTAAACTCTGAGTAACTCAGATTAAAAACAGAGTAATTTATTTCTAGGGATGGGCCGATTCTGACTTTCAATTTCCAAATACATCAATTCCTTGGGAACCGAGGAATCGTTGATTCTCGATTCTCGCGCACTAACCTTTTAAAATTGTGTTTTTCCTTGTAAGAGTCTTAATATGTTTCTGTTGGATTTGATGTATAAATAATGATTAACAGATAGGTTCAATGTGTTCTGCTCAAATAACATTACACTTAAGTTACGGAAACATCGATATTTCAATAGTTATTAAAAAACGTCGGTTACCTAGGCCTACCACCGACGTAAAAAACATCGAACATTGATGTTTAAAAAGTATCACCAATCAATGCTCATATTCCTAGACGTACGGTATATTGATATTGACTATCGTACTTGACTCGTACTCTACTATTTCAAGTCGTTGGTGCGTAATGTAATGCCGTTGAGGTTATGTATGTATGTGATTTTAAAATAAGCAGTATAAATCTGAAAATGGCATCCAACAAACGAAAGAAAAGCGATGTATGGGAATTCTTTTCTAAGGAAAATGAAAATAGCACGTTTGCTGTTTGCAACATTTGGAATTCCACTAAACACATGTTAGACAGGCTTTTAGAAGAATGGAGAGCCATTTCATAAGTGGCTATTGAGCTAAGCAAGCCCATGTATATATACCGACTCACCATAAACCAGATAAACTCACCAACTCACTCAGCGCTATTTAACTTGATGATTATTGAAAGTTTGAAGTATTTTCCTGAACACAGTGCACTTACAGACCTATCTTCCGATGTGCCCAAGAATATGAACAAGGACGACTGGCATATACACAAAACTGGTTGTGCAAGGAGTGAAGGGTACTACAAGATAGATAGGGTGCAGAAGGCCAAACATAAGGTATTTATATACATAGGTAATTAGTTTTGTATGAATCTCATCTTATTTTATGTGTAGGTAGGAGTCTAATTAATCCATACCTTAAGATCTTACCAAAAAAGGTTCAGGGTCAGGTTAATCGTTATTTACATCTAAGAAACATATTATTGGTTTGTCAAAATGTAATCTCAAATCTCAACATCAACCAAAATATTTGGAAAAGTTACAGTTTGAGATTTGATCTGCAATTTTCAAAATTCTAATCAAACCAAATAAAAAACTATGATCTGACAATAAGATAATTCAGAGAGATTAAAAGTTCAATTTAAAAATAGAATCACCTGGTCCCTATAATGATGTTTTTAAAATTAGATTGTCTACAGAAATTTGATCTTTTCAGCATCATTTTGGACAAAACTTGGCTCCGAAGGAGGCTGAATCTGAGAAACCAGATCCGATCTGCCCCAAGCCTCACATGGGCAAGATGTTGTCTATCTCTCGTGAGGCTCGTAGTAACCAGCGTCGTCTGCTAACTGCCTTCGGAACTGTAACAGACAGTGACCTTCTCAAGTTCAACGGTCTTAAGGTAACAACCCTCAATTTTAGTACCTAATACAAGTTTAATATTTGTGGTGTGTGGATTATTAGTTCAGGAAAAAGCCTTTCTACATTAGAAAATACTTTGAAATAAACATTAAAAGATCTGGAGAGTTGTTTTGAATCAAATGGAGTTTTTACTAAATTAATGCAATTTCCAGGACTTCCATATCGTTTATAATTTTTTATTTTACAGAGCAGTATGGTAGTCCTATTAAATTGCATAATCAAATGTGGAAAAAAACTGATAACTCGGTTGTTTGTCATCCGATTTTAACAAACAAGGTCTTATTTGATTTGGATTTTAGTTCTCTATCTTTTTGGTCTGAAAAACAATTTTCTTTATATTTACGGGTTCCATGAAATTTGGCATTAAATATTTTAAATGGCCGCCATATTGAAACTTTGTAACTTTGTATTAATTTTGCATGAATATGACGTCCTCGTCGCCAATGTTACATCTGTACTTAATAAAACTATGCCAATACGCACTAATTGATAAATTATTACTGATTATGTAATACGTAAGTAATTCTACCACAGGAGGAAATGATGCGTGCGATCATACCTGCGTTCTGTAGTCAACTGTCCGTCCTTTCGTCTAGAGTGGGCATGTGGGATGAAGGGTCAAAGTTCAGACTAGGCTATTATTGTAGGCTATTTGTATTAATGAAATAAAATATCTTCTGTTGCTTTAAACCAAATAATCTTTGCTTTACTACAAAATGGATTGTAATTGTTATGGGAAAAGTGAAAAAAATGCTTTATAAAGTAAAATACAGTGTTTATTTAATACAGTAGTAAACATAGTAAATAAACAGTACTGTACATAAGAATAGAAACAATAACGGTGCGTATATCAATAAATACAGTATACAATAAAAAACTACTGCACTGTGTATAACGTACAGCAATGAGGCGTTTGGATGGGTCGCCAGAATTTTATCCCCTGGAATTTTTCCCCCTAGAAAAAGCTGACGTCACTATGACGTAGTAATCTGAGCGCTCTAAAGTTTGTTCGCGGCCGGAATTTAACCCCCGCGGATTTGGAAGTCTAATGAAAATTGACAGAGCGTGATCAGTTAGATTAGCTATAAAAACTGGAATTTTACCCCTTGTCCAACAAGCGTTTAGGCAACTGTACATGTACGGCCCGAATTTTGACCCCTGGATTTTAACCCCGGATTTTAACCCCGGATTTTTACCCCCCGTAATTTTACCCCCAGATTTTAACCCCCCGGAATTTTTCCCCCTGGCCAGATTAATTATTATGAATTAATTCTTTAAGTTTTTATTAAGTAGCCTAGCTTAATTTATTTGTAATCTCAACTAAGTAAACAGGTTTCTTTATTTAATTTTTATATTCAGGATTTGGGTTTGGGGCCAAATGGTTAATATGTATAATAAATTTATGTTATATAGACTAAAATTTGCATAACAAAATTAAATACCTCGAATCAAACTACAGTACGTATTTTACTATTAACCATTTGATTCCATTCCCACTCCATTAAAATAAAATAGTATTTAGGATTTATCTGTTGTAAAATCGGTAAAACAATGTTACAAACTAGGCTATAATAATTTGCACTCATTTGATGGTTGGAGGGGGAGGGCCAAATTGTGGATAGCCTAGGGGCGACAAATCTTCAAATCCGCCAATAGTCTACCATGCTACCATAGGCCAAACGTGTTAATAGCCAGTATAAGCAAGCACACGGCAACACTAGCACTCGTACGCAGTGGGTTAGTACGACTATCTAGTGGTGAAATGCAGTGATGTGCTACACCCGTGACTCGTCGTCAAAATACTTGAAAATCAACCCATTCCATAGCAGGTTAATTTTTAAAACAAACATAAGTAATTGTTTGTTATCCTTCTACATTTAAAGTTTACTGTTTAAATATTTAATTTTCCTACAGTCACCCGACAAAGTTGGCTTCCTTGTACTGTTTATAGTACAGAAAGCTGCTAATTGCTGCATATTTATACTTTGCCGTACGGTTTATACTTTGCCGTACGGTTTATACTTTGCCGCACATCAGGATTCCAACGAAACAACACAAAACAGCGTGGTTCTATTATGCACGTAATCCGTGTACGCTTGGAAATAGGTTGGCAACACTTAAAGATAATAATACTATGAGCAGCTGATTGACTATTATAACTGCGATTTAACCTGTCATTTCGTGTTTATAGTTTCGGTATTTCTGAACTTTCTGGACTTTTCTTTTAAACGTTTTTAAAACATTCCTACGATCTTAATAAACAAGAAAATACCTTTAAAGCATTTTTTTAGGCGCGGAAACCATTTCAAATTACAAAAACATACGGAACTATATTCTCAAAACGCGGAGCACATTTCTTGCCGAGGAAAAATAGCGGAGTGATACGGACCGCGGGTACTACTTTCTCTAGGGCACCATTTGTGTTGCCAGCTGAACCTAAAAACGTGTTGTATAGTGTTTGAAAGACTAATTATTTATATGCTTTATAGTGACTGTAGGAAAAATATAATGTGTAACACGAGTGAAAAAGGCCTTTGCTGCACTCAAGATCATTCCGCACTCGCCTGCGGCTCGTGCGTAAACATTGCTCTCGTGTGCAGCAAAGTGCCACTATCACCACTAGTTACACAAATAACTATTTGCTTAAGGTGAGCTACACTTTTATTATTACCTAATATTAGGGGTCTGCGGTACAGAAAATTTAAGGTCGGTACGGTTCGGTACGGTACAATATTTTGTACCTCGGTTCTCGGTACAAAATCGGTACGGTACGCGGCTACCCGTATTTTTGCGGTTTTCTTCTCAGAACTGTATCCAAACCATTATTTTTAACTTTAATACATAGACATTACTATGAAAATGGATAGTATCCTACATTCATGGTTTTCTAACAACAATTACTGTACCACATATTATTAAAACAAAACCTTTTACTACTACGAGGATTGTGTCAAGAAAAATCACAGTTGAGATAAAGGCTTTACCACAGACAATATAATACTTTAATGGTTTCCATTGTCTGTGGCTTTACCTATTTTACTCTGAGATACTTTGAATAGCCATGATTAAGTAGTTTAAAAATAGGATGAGAGTTTTTATGAATAAACATGTTTGAAACATTTATTGACAAGATAATTTCACAAAACTGATAAATTATTTCCAACCAACACAATGTCTAGTTGTTTTTTTTTTTATTTTAAAAACATATAAAAGCATTCAGTAGAAGACAGTGTAGTTTTGCCAGCTGTTCACAGCAGATGACAATGAAAAACTGGAGGTTATGATGAAGTAATGGCAAAGACCATTTTTTTTATCAGCTTCAAAACTAGTTAAGTTATAAGATGGATACAATTCTTGCAAAGTTTTTTTCTGAAACTAAAATTTGGATTATCACAGAGTAAGATTTGATGTTGGGCAATTAGACTTTATAACTGTGTAAAAGGTGTGTATCCCTGAATTTATAAATTGCATTCTACACTTATTCACTGCCAAACATAATTCAGTAGAACCTTGATGAACCGAGAATTACACTAGCCTACATAACTTCATTACCCCAAGTAAAATACCAAGATAATTTTTATAATTGTATTTGAATCGTATAATCTTAGTTTGTTAAAAATGGATTGTATGTTCAACAATAATTGCAGTCCATTATTGTTAAGCAGTATGGTCCCAAATTATTGTTTTTGATTTTGAAACATCACAGTTCATTTGACAAAATTATAGTTGAAGCAGCCCAATGTCAAGTCACGCACGCTTGTGCAATAGTTTGTTTACATGCTTTCTCCAGACCATGGGGGAGGGGAGGGTCTGATAAGCCGTCTATTGTTCACCCCCAAGAAGGTCCGACCCTCATTAGCCCTCCCAGTGTTACTTGACGAAAATTCGACAAGCAGCACACTTTGTGTAGTGTTACTTGTCGATTTTTCGACACGCAGACATCGTTTACGGCGAAGGCTCTATGACTGACTGAATCGGATTGAACTGGATCGAGTTAGGTATCGTTCTTTCCGTAATATTCTAAGCTTTCTCCAGAGGTCTGTCTCTAAGCGCTATTCATTTTAGTTCCGAAAATATTGTAGCAGACAGCTGACGTGCGTGTATTTGTAAACAGCTAGGTTCCCCCGGACCGATGACTGATGTGTTTTATTACGTTTATCATTGTTTTAGTGTTAAAAATCAAAAGTAGTGATATACGTGGTGCATTATAAGAAGATTTAAGTGGTTTTGAAGTGCTGGTTGATGATCCTGAAGAAGTAGGTAGTGATATTGATGTAAATTATCAGCCAGATTCCTAGCTATGGTTAGGCTATGCATTCTTAGCTAAACGCTATGTACTGACATCAGTTTTTTGCCCATAACTTATTTATTTGCAAATCTACTTCCTTATATTATTATATATTTGTAATCCTCATAAAATTTAGAACAAAGTGGCTATTTTCAAATATTTATAGGCCTATAATTTATACAATTTCATTGAGCGCGAACTTATTTTTTTTTTGAAAATTTTCGAAATTAAATTTTTTTTACCTAAAAATTTTTTTTTTTTTAAAAATGTTCCTTATGTTTTATATATAATATTGAAGCCCATGATTTTCCAAACAAAATGGTATATAGAACATTAGAATTAACATTGTTTTAAGCTTCTCAGATCCGTTTTAATAAAACCTTGCAAATGCGCCAAAAATAGGTGGACATTAAGGCCTAAACTATGGACACTTGGAGGGTTAGTGCCGCTCGGCTGCACTCAGTGAAGTTTTACCCCCTGCTGTGCGCTATGTCACAAAAGCTGATAACGACATGGGTGATTAGTAACCATGGCAACTTGTTGAATGCGTGATGAAGGGAAACCCGAGAAATAGAAGAACAAAGAGAAAGAATGACGTTGTTATCTTCATACCCTTTTTACAATTTCCGTTATTGTTATCTTTATGTAAGATTTTATGATTTTGTTTTATAGGTTTATAAAATAATTCTTTT